AAGAACTGTCGACGAGCCAGCTCGGGGACATCAAGAAGCACCTTCTAAACAACGAGCCTCTGTCTCAGGATTTCTGGAAAGGCATTGCAGAGCTGCGGAGTTTGAGATCTTCCGATATCCTTACTTTGGAGGAGCATGTGCAGCATCTCAACGAACATATGGCGTCCCACCTCTAGAATAAGACCCCGGTGCCAACCCCTCCTGAATCGGCTGCTGTGGTTCAAGCGCACAGCAGTTCGTAGGGCAGAGCGAAAGGCATCATCGTCGTCAACAGCATCAGCCAAGAAAAAGGGAGGGCAGCATCCAACCCGCCGGCAGGGACCCACAACATCACCAATGCCTTCGCTAAAGGCAGTGGCAAACCGGTGCGTAGAATATGTTTGTGTGTGCCGACGAGAGGGTTCCGGCACCTGTCTCGGACGGAGGATCCGTCGAGCAACCAGGGGCGCTGATCCCCTACGAAGGACCCTACGGCAAGTGGGGGCGCTTCGTGAAGGAGCTGAGGGACAACACCGACCAGATACCGTTGGGGTTCGTGACCGGACAGTAAGACACCTGGGACAAAAGAGGGGCGAAGCGTGTGCATGTTGGCCACAGCCATTCCCCGGCTTGGAGAAGCGGCAGTGCACGGTGCAACCGACGATAGGAGCGGGCGGGAAAAAGACGAGGTGCGCGATCATCTTCCGCGGCAAAGGAACCGGCATCACCAAGGTGGAGAAGGTAGCATACGACAAGCGCATAGATGTCTTCTTCCAGCCCAAGGCCTGGGCCGACAGCGACTTCTGCATGCAATTGCTGGAGCGCTCTTTTCGCCCGAGCCGAATGGTAGACGGGAAGGTGCCCGAGGAGCAGTCGCTTCTCCTCGCCGACAACCTACACGGGCAGACGACTGAGGAATTCCGCAAGAATCTCCACAAGGAGTGCAACACGCTTCTTTGGCACCTGCTGGCAGGCTGTACGGACGCGGTCCAGCCGATCGACGCCGGCTATGGACGGCGGCTGAACGTGGCTGTGGGGGTGCAGCTGAACAAGTGGCTGGAGAGCGGAGACAACCTGTAAAAGTGGGAGGCCAAAGCACTGACGTGTTCCGAACGTCGCGTATTGCTTACCAGTTGGGTGGCACAGGCGACCGAGGAGATCGATAAAGATAAGCAATATCGGTTCCGCCTCTTGGAGAAAACCGGATGTGGAATGACGGCGGATGGCTCTGGGGACGACAAAATCAACCTCGAGGGCCTTTCCACATATATATTCCTTCATGGATATGGAGGGTGGCGCCAGCGCTGATGAGGAGGGCAAGGAGGATGGGGACACCGGCAAGGTTGACGTGGACCAGCTGTCGGAGGACGCCTCTTCCAGCGATGATGAGAGCGACGGTAAGTGATATTGTATTTCGCGTTCATAGCACAGAAGAATTACCCTTGCGGAAGAAAGCTCCTCTTGTTGACACATTAATGAGTGTTGGAATATTGTCCCCGCTCCGGGAATCGCCACAACAATAGACGATGCGTCCGCTGTGCCTTGTCAGGAGACAATGGCAACGATAAGGGCCCGCTGACCCAGCTCGACGACGATGACGAATTGTCGCCTGAGGAAGAAACGCTGAAGATGGACATCCCGGACGGGTTTTGACTCCAGGCGTCTCCACCACCGGCCCTCGACCGAAGCGTGGGGTTCTCGTGAAACTCGGGTTGGGTTGGTTCGGTAATTAGTCGTAGATGTCACCCCGCTTCGCGGCAGGAGTACGACTACCGCGTCATCCTGCACTGTGACGAAAGCACGCGACACGTGAGTGTGCCTGTGCAGGCCTTCGCCGGAGCCAGAGCTCCGTGAAGGTTTTGATCCCAGGAGGACAGCTGAAACATCAAAAGCCGCGTTTGTTTGCCAGTGTCGAATCGTTGATAGGGCGGACTCACCAGTCTTCCGTTTTTAGTAAAGTGCCACATCTCGAAGCAATACCGCGTGCGGGTCGAGGTCTTGAAGTCGGATAGTCCATGGGCACGCAGCCATCTGTTGGTTGTAGAACAGTATCGAACCACGAGCAAGACGCATGAGGTACTGAAACTCCATTCCCGTGACGCGCTCCCCCGGCAAAAAATACATCTCGCTCGGCTGAATACAAGGGAAAATGGGCTTAACCCCAACTTCAATATATATTTTGGGAGAAACTTGGGCCTGTTTCTCTCAACGCGTTTTATCCTACTATAATATGGGGCAGGCTTGGACCGGTCGAAATCGACAGAGATGCACGCATCCCGACACGCTACATATCTGAATCGCCCAAACGGGAACTTGTGCACATCGCCGCATACGACGACGACAACTCCCACGGCCAACTCCCAGGGCCAAGACGGCAGTAATGACCACCCTACACCAGCTCTGGTCCTGCCTATCACTATCATTATTCAAGCTGCCGGTAATGAACGGCCGTAGTCAGTAGAAGACAGTCAAATTTCTCTCGACGCGCCGAAAGCTACAACTGGTCCCTCCACAGCGTGCCCCTCGCCACGCGCTAGCAAAGCCCGACTCGCTTTCAGGCGGCGCTCCGTTTGGGAAGGTAAGAGTCGTCATGTGCCCTCCGCGCCACGCCGTGAAGTTTCAACATACATACTTATACCCACACAATACGATCCTGCGTATCACGGGTGGTAACAGATACAACGCACCACCATACAGCGGCATGACCTCAACCCACCCCACCGACGTCAAACACGTCCAAAGCAGGCTACGATATTTGCTCCTCGTGCCCTTTCGATGTACTATCCCACGCTGCAAGACATGGACGACCAATACCATGGTGCCGACACGTCAGCACCGCCAGCACAAGGCGCTCGCGGACGCTTCGGCTTACCATCGACACCTCCCCAGTGACTCCCGTGCCATACTCGAAACAATTTTTCTCCAAACCATTGAAATCACAACTATAAACACTTGTGGATCCTTCATCGCTTCAGGCGCCCCCATCTCTCCTCTGTTGACAGGAACACGGAGCAGCGGGAGTGGCCATAAATTCGTCGTAAATGTTGCGGAAAGCGTCGATGTGTCGTCACGGCAAGCTCTCAAGAGTTCTCATTGTATTCTCAGCAGCGGGGAAGCCTAGGAGAACCCAAACGACCAACAAGCGACTAATCACCTACTTCTTGCAAACAAACGCATCCGGAGCTGTTCGCATACCCTGCGCGGGATCGATCACATATACATGCACAACAGGTTGGCCGGGAATACGTCGGTTGCTGCCGGTAGACGAACTACATCTGCTGTCTGCACCTAGAGGAAAGCATAGAGCAACTTCTACGTACCTAGTTGCGCCATTTGGCCCTCCAGTTGCCCGAGGACCTCCTCGAGAAGAGCGGTTTCCTGATGACAGCTGTCTATCGCGGCGAGCGCTGTTGAAAGCGATGGGTCTCCGCCAGTTCCAGCAACTACATTACCGTGAATTACATGGCCGTTTCACACGCGAAAGACGGGGGATGTGAGGAGCTGGTGGAGGAAGGGTAACGCCAACAGAGTGGATATTGAATTGCGTCGCAAACAGCAACAGGCATCAACTAGTATGTGCACACAGGAAGTTGTTCGACAGTACCCTTGTTTGTGGTGAAGTTATTGTGTGCTGGTGGTATTGTAAGGGTAGCAGCGGAAACCAAGAGTCTGGGGCAGGGCGACGAGAGAGGGAGCTAGCATGTTGTGTGCACTCCCCAGAGACCGGAGCCCCGTGGATCAATCATAAACTCAACACAGAGTATAACCACTTCCAAACTTAATCCACACCACCAAATACAGCAGTTTATTGGGACATCCGAATCCGTCCATGCACACACCAACAGAAGTAGATGGTGAATTTTTTTTCGTCTGGGGCGAAGGCTCCAAGCATGGACTCACTCTTTTTCTCGCAATCGCTGCAGTAGAGGTTGATGGACCCGACGTCCTTCCGCATGCAGTCTAGCTCTCCCGCCACGGCGTCGGTAACGGCGGCAGCCTTTGTAACGTCCCCGTTTGCGACTGGTGATTGGAAACCGAGGAGCATGGTCAGAGTCAGTCCCTTGCTGTCGTGAGTCTCCTGTTCCAAGCATTTAGATACTGTTAGGGGTGTCAAAGCGGAATATTTCCTCTTGGAAAAAAATTGAAATAGCGTCCTCGGATCTTGCTGATGGAAACTCGACCAACCAATGAAATTGCATGGAACCGTCGAGACCTCCCGAAAACACCCTCTGACGCACACGCGTGAGGGCGCCGCTCGTATGTGTGCTCTGATGTTTCGACGGGTTCTCTCTTCCGTCTGGCGCTGTCCCGCCATCGCCGGCTCCTTCTCTCGCCCAATCGCTTGTTTCTCCTGCTCGGCCTGCTGTTTCTCCTGCTCGGCCTGCTGTCCCCGTGCCCGCTCCGACTTGAGCTCCTCGTCTTTCTCGCGCACAAACTCCAGAGCCATGCTGCAACCAGCTTTGCTCTCTTCCTCACTTTTCCTACTTTCGGCCAGCTCATACTTCGTTCTTTCCAGCTCTTTCTGGGCGGCGGTGATGCTGCCGCGCTCGATAGCGCGCCGGGTGTTGTCTGCTGCTGGCGCCTCAGCCACAGACTTCCCCGTCCTCTCTTCAAACTTCGCTTCGTTTTTCTTTAGATTCAGCGCAGCGCGCCTGCCGCCACCGAACGTCGTGGACCTTCGTTGTTTTTTGGGGGGATGGTCCGCGGTGGGAGCCGCAGACCCGCTTGAAGGGCCGTTTTCGGACATGCACATCTCGGGGTTGGCTGACGCGATTCGGGCGCGGTCTGTTGTGCTGTACAGGTGTAAGCCCAAGGTAGAGGACTGCAATCTCGCTTTCACGAGAGGAGCAAAGGTCGCCTTGGGCGTGGGCAAAACAGCTGAAAAAAAAAAAATTTTCTGTGTTGTTCGTCCGCCCTTTGAACTTAAGTAAAAACCGAGTTTGCAGTCACCTCTATTGGACCTGTGTCCAGGTGTGTGTAACGCATGAAGAGCCATGCCGCTGTCTGGACGCAGAGCTGCCTGCACAAACAAATTAACTTGATGTATAGTTTATTCAGTATTAACAGCGGGATTCTCAAGAACGAAAAAATGAACCAAATCCGCGTGCCCCCCTCAAATGTTGCCGAATGGATCGGACGTTTTTTTGGCCCCAAATTCCGCCGCTTTGACACCCCTAACTGTACAGGGGTGGTTGGTCTCCATGTGCCTCATTGCGGGAGGGAAGACGCAGCTGCGAAGCGCCTCTCGTAACGTATCTCGGTAGGGTGGAGCACCGCGGGTGAGGTGAGACGACTTACTGCTGTATCAACCCGCCCCGACTGTCGCCATCCTGATATCTATCGATCGCAACGGCACCGAATACTGTTGTTTAACTCTGTTAACCGAGACGAAATAATGGGCGCTTGTTACCCCCCAGTGGGCAAAGTCTAATGCCCATTGTTTTCATTGGCACCAACTTGACTTACTACTGTTGGGGGTGCCAATCAGGGCGATTTTGGCGGCAAAAAAGTGACCGGTCTATTCGAGGATATTGAGAAAAAAAAGGGGGGCACGCGGACGTTTTGGTTCTCAAGTCAGCTCTTGAATCATACCGATCAAAGTATACTTTATCCTCCGTACTTTGTGCAAGTAGCCCTGCGTCCAGGCAGCGACGTGGCTCTTCATACGTTGCACACATCTGGACACAAGTCCAATAGAGGACACTGCAAGCTCGGTTTATGCTTAAGTTTGTAGGGCGCATGAACAACCCAGAAAAACCTACAAATTCCAGCTGTATGGCCAATGCCCGAGGCCGCCTCTGACTTTCTTGAGAAAGCGTGCTTGCAGTGCACCACCTTGGGAGTTAGACCACACAACACAAAAGACCGAACTGGAATCGCTCAAGTCAACAGCGAGATCTACATGTCTGAAAATGGTCTTCCAAGCGGGTCTCCTGCAGCGCCTGTCAGCGAAGCACAGCAGCAAAAAAAACGTAACCAAAAAAAAAAGAGGCGCGTTTTTGGTGGCGGCAGCAGGCGAGCCGCGAAGAACCTCAGGAAAAACCAAGCCAAGTACGAACAGGCGTCGGGGCAGTCTGTGTACCACGCCTGCGCAGCGTCAAACACACGGCGTGCGGTCGAAANAAAAAAAAAAGAGGCGCGTTTTTGGTGGCGGCAGCAGGCGAGCCGCGAAAAAACTCAGGAAAAACCAAGCCAAGTACGAACAGGCGTCGGGGCAGTCTGTGTACGCCGCCTGCGCAGCGTCAAACACACGGCGTGCGGTCGAAAGGGGCGGTGTTGCCGCCGCACAGAAAGCGCTGACAGAAAAGGAGCATGAGTTGGTCGAAAGTAAACAGCGCGAGGCGGCAAGCACCGCTGAGTGCAGCATGGCTCAGGAGCTCGCGCGCGAGAGCACCGAGGCGCTAAAGGAGGAGAAGGCTAAGAGAGCAGAGGCAGAGCGGTCGCAGCAAGAGGCAGAGCGGAGGAAGCAAGAGGCTGAACGAGACAAGGCGGAGGCGGAGGCGGAGCGGCGCAGAATGGAGGACAGAAACCGCGAGATGAAAGAAGAGCTGACCCGTTTGCGAGGCTCCGCAAAAAAGCTCCGCAAAACAACGGCCGTGCTTTGGGGGTCTCTCGACGCGCCGCTCGAAACCGAACCGACGGCGACGCCGGAGGAGGGCAGCATCCGTAACCTCGAGGATGAACTCCAGCTCGAGAGGTTCAGGGTTGCGAGGCTGCAGCGGAAGGTGGATGCTCTGGGGGCGAAGATTGAGGAGCTGGAGAAGAAAAATTCGGCCGAGAAAGAAAAGGTGTGTGTGCGAGAGAGGCAATATTTTTTCGCGGGCAATTTTTTTTCGCGTGCGTGCGTGCGTGCGTGCTGTCGTGTGTCTGATATGTCAAGAGTTCTGCTGCTGCTATCATTGTTTTACTGATGGTTTGGTCCGGGTACAACTGCTGCTGTTGATGTCATGAGTGCCGTGCTGTCGCTGAGCGACGCGGTTGCGTTTTATATAGATATCTCAATCGAAAAAAAAAATGTACTTCGTTGCTGCATGATGTGTCTAAAAAAATCTCTCCGCTGCTGCTCTCTCCTGATGATCAGAGTGCGCGAGCGAAGAAGCGTGTAGCGGAGTAGAAAAGCGCAGCACGGACGAAGAAACCGGAGCAGGAGGCACCTGCTGAGGAGGAGGCGATGGGTGGTGGGGAGATGGGCTCGGAGGAGCAGCTGCAGGTGGTGAAGGACGTCATCAAAAAGCAGCTCAAGCCCGACGGGATCTTCGGTGAGAATGCGGCGCGGTTGTTTCAAGCATACGTGCGGGGCGGGGTCTCGCTGAACATGACCGGGCAGCTTCTACAGCAGACCATGCGCTACGCTACCGGAGTAAACTTGAAAAAAGATCTCCACATCACGTGTGCCCGTGAAACCGTCAAGGTTCTCGCCGTCGGCATTACACGGCTCGACGGCGAGGAGTTGATCAAAGCTATTCGAAAGGCGCCGTTCTTGCTGGTCGGCGGCGATGAGTCGCCTCGCTTCGGGGACAAGAAGTTCCCGATCTTCGTCGCTTTTCACGACGAAGAAGCGGATGCGCCTTGGTTTGGCTTGCTTCGGATATGCAGTATGAAAGACAAGACAGCAGAGACACAAGCGCAGCTATTCTACGAGACGATCGTCGACACGGTTCGGTACCCGAAACACCAGGTGCTGTTCATCTTGGGTGACAACACGGCGTCTGTTACGTCGGAAGGGCAGGGGTGTGTGGCGCTGCTGCAGAGGAAGTTACGGGGGCAAGACACCACAAAGACAAAAAGCACTGCTGCTAGGGGGGCTAACAGCCGTGGTGGTGGCAGCGTTCAGCCACAAAACGCACCGGCGGCGGCGGGGGGGGCGGGCGGGGTGGGTCAGCGGAGAAACTTGACGAGCACGAGTGCCAGCAGCAGCAGCGGCGCCGGAGAGGGGGGGGGGGTTGCAAGGCGGACAGGCGACCGGAGGGGGAAAGGAAAGGGCAAGGGGAAAGGAAAAGCAACGGCGCCTACTACTACAGCAGCAGCCACTACCCTGAGGAGGAGTGTGTCTACGAAGGCAAAAGAAGGGGACAGGGGGGGGAGCTCGGAGGAAAGCTGTGAGGAGAGCTGACTTTTTTTTGTATGCATCTTGCAGCTATGCATGAACGTGGTTCTCGCGAAGATGGTTGCGTGCCTGGTTGTATCGAGAGCTGTGATGTGCTGTGATAGCTCTTGCAGGCGTGGCAGGGTTCTGGATTGCTTTTGGTCGGCCTGAGTTGCTTTGGTTTTGTGCTGCAGTTCAACTTCAACTTGGGGGCGCAAATTGCGCGAAGTTTGCGTGTGTCAGCATGATGAGCAGGCATCAATAATGAAACACGTGGTGATGGCATGGTTTTCAACGCGACAGAACACCACAACCGATACTCGGCTCTCTCGGTGTCTCTCTGCAGCTAACTGGCTGCAGCCTTCGCAGAATGCAGAAGGTGGTGGCGCCCCAGCAGGGTACAAAACGTCGACATGATTTTTGGTGCGGAGTTTTTTTTTTCCGGTGAGAAAAATCCACGTCACACACAACACACCTACGTTTGGTCAGCGTGCACACCACTCCGAGTCGGCAAACCCCCTTCCCGCTTCAACTCCTCCACCATCGCCCGCCCAGTTTCCGTATCCAAAACTCTCTTTCTCTTTGCGTTTCCGGCTGGGTGTTCTGCGAGGGCCGCCGCGTTCGCTTTTCTCCACCCAGCCAGCCTCCTGGTGCCGGCCGCACGAATTTCACTGCCGGTGGCACCACTGCTTGAGATATCTCTGGACTCTTCGGTTTGCCAACTCCCAACCCGAACGGAATCCATCACAGCCACGTCCGTTTTCTTTGCGCACGTGTCGTCCATGAAAAAGAAGGCCTCGATCAACTGCAAGTGAATAGGCACGAAGTAGAAGCGCACACACACGAACTTGTACAAGCGAGGGAATTTTTCGAAAAGACGCACCAGCGCAGTTGTACCTTTCTCTGCTTCCTCATCAACCTCCTTGTCCCCAAA